ATATATAAAATATGTATGTATGTATATGTATATATATATATGTATATGTATATATGTATACATATATATGTATATATATGTATATATATGTGTGTGTATATATAAATATAAATATATAGGTTGAAGGAGAAAAGTGCTGCCGGTACCTTTTGTAAAATAATGAAAGCTGGGAATGAAGATATTGTTGCAACAGATAGTTATAATTGTGTAGTTTCAGAGGGTAGCTGGGTGGGTCTGCGGTAGAACAGTTAGATTCAAGTCCAGTAGCCCCTTAAGAGCATGTTAGCCAGATCTAGGGCTACTTACCTGGCCCATGCAGCCCAGATTCACAGACCGGAGACTTCACTTGAGGAACAAAGCTGTATTCGAACAAAGAGAAAATCTGTCTCTGCTGAGGATATTATAGCATTGGAAAAAGTGCAGAAAAGGGCAACTAGAATGATAAAAAGGTTGGAACACCTTCCCTATAGAGAAAGGTTAAAGCGCTTAGGCCTCTTTAGCTTGGAGAAACGATGACTGAGGGGTGACATGATCGAGGTTTACCAGATTATGCATGGGATAGAGCAGGTAGAGAAAGAGGTACTTTCCCCCCTTTCTCACAATACAAGAACTCATGGGCACAGAATGAAATTGCTGAGCAGTTGGGTTAGAACGGATAAAAGGAAGTACTTCTTCACCCAAAGAGTGATTAACACATGGAATTCACTGCCACAGGAGGTGGAGGCGGCTACAAGCATGGACGACTTCAAAAGGGAATTAGATAAGCATATGGAGCAGAGGTCCATCAGTGGTTATTAGCAACAAGGTATAGATAGGAACTCTTGGTCTGAGGCAAGTGATGCACTGTATTCTTGGTGCTTGGGGGAGGGACCACTGGTGGACCTCCCGATGGTACCTGGTATTTTTGGCCACTGTGTGACAGTGTTGGACTGGATGGGCCATTGGCCTTATCCAGTATTGGCTTCTCTTATGTTCTTATGAGAACAGAGATTCAAGGTTCTTTATCCATGTCCATGCTTTATATAGTCTACAACAGGCATTTCATTCTCCCTTACCCCACTTCTTAATTTAGTTATTACCCATAACCTTTCCTTATATCTACTCCTGCTCTCTACTATGACTTTTATATATTCATGTATTATTGAACACATCTTCACTTTCCCTTTTTACCCTTACCCCATGGTCAATCATTATTCAGCACTCCTGCATAGTTTGTTCATATATATAAACTCACAATAATGGGTTTAGATTATGGGCAGGAAGGTACCGGCTGGATATTAGGAAAAACTTTTTTTTACAGTAGGAATTGTGCAACAGTGGAATCAGCTGCCTGGGGAGGTGGTGAGCTCCCCCTCACTGGCAGTCTTCAAGCAGCGTCTGGGCAAACACTTGTCAGGGATGCAGTCTAGGCTGATCCTGCACTGAGCAGGGGGTTGGACCGGATGCTTCTATGGCCCCTTCCAGCTCTGTGATTCTATGATTCTATATTACATTACATCATTTGTCTCCTGTATTCCTACTCTGAAGATCACTTTATTATGTTAATCATATCCATCATGCATGTCCACTGTGAAGTTAGAAATCTCCAAGTGTCCCCATTATGAAGATTAAGATTGTCAGGTGTTTTTATTACACAAATGCAATGTATTCTTCAGATACCTGGCCCGAAACTTACGACCTTCAATTTGTTCCACAAGAGCAACACAATTTTCAGGCTATGAGCTTTCAAGAGTCAAAGCTGCTTGCATCAGATACAAGTCGAAGGGAGCTCTGACTCTCCAAAGGTTGTATCTTGAAAATCTTGTTGGTCTCTAAGGTGCTACTGGACTCCAATCTAGGTATAATTTTATAGCCATCTAGCCATTACCGCATTATTTTTAAAAAAGCCCTCAGTTGGGGGAAATGGTAGCCATGAGGACTGAGATCAGAAAAATAGAACTGGTGTGGATGGAATGTTCGATTACATTTTATGCTGCTTAACATCCATGTTTTTGTTCCACTATTTTTATCTACTGCTTCATTCTTTTATTGAACTTTATCTAACCAGTTGACGTTTTCTTTTTAAATTTTATGTTGTGTAAGCTATTTCGGGCACACGCGTGAAGAAGTAGCCAAGAAACAATTTAAATATATAACCTTATAAGTATATAATCCTAAATTTTCCCCAGCTCAGCTGTAGGATGGCAATTGTCAGTCAGTTAAGAGGTGCTTTTGTCTTCTCCTTAAAAATGCAACTTCAATGCCATTCTATATTTTAAAAACTGCTGGGGGAAATAATCATGGGGCTACACATAACATCTCTGGACCTCTTCCTTTTCTTAGTCTTTGTCTGAGTTCACCTGGCCCTGGAAACCATAACCCTCCCCTGATGGCTGTTCTGGCCTTTGAAAAGGTGTGTGTAGGAGAGATGGGAACGAGATCGCCTGGCCCAATCAGGATCAGGCCCTCATGGCATTTTTAAATAGCCAGAGTCTTCTCTACAATGGGTCAGGCCCATGGACGTCGTACCATCTAGTTTGGCCCTAAGCCACCCTCAGTACTTCTCCCCCACCACACCTGTCTTGCCCATCTAAAATAGATTTTAAGATTTCTCAGCACTTCAAATGTCACACATTGTTGGGGAAATATAAATGGTTAGCTCTGCGAGTATAACGGGGGGGGAATAAACTTTATGAAAACATTGAGGTTCTGCTCTGAATGTCTTGATGTTTGAAATGTTTTTAATGTTTGTGGCCTTGAGGACTCTGAGTTGGGTGGAAGAGTGGAATAGAAATGTTTTAAATAAATTGAAATCGGTCGCTATAACCCTGTTTTTGTGTGCATGGAAGGCGTTCATTATGCATTACGGGTGCTCTATTGATTACTGGATTGGCCTCCAGAAAGAACCTGACCAAACTTGGAAATGGATAGATGGGACAGAATTAAACGATATGTGAGTCCTTATTCCTTTAAATTTTTTATTTATTAGATATTTGTACCATGCTTTTTTTGCCCACTGGGACCCAAAGTGCCTTATAACTTCATTATCCCTTCCTCCATTTTATCTTCACAACTACCACCTTGTGAGGTTGTGAAAGAAGGGCAGAGGTCCTGCCCCTTTCCATCAACCACCAATTCCCTATATACCTCTTCAGTGTATGTGAAAAACCATTAACGGCCAATCATAAACCATGGAGTGTTGGAGGAGCCAGATTGGAAGGAAGGGGGAATAGAGGGGAAAAAATCTAGTTCTCTTCCTTGGTCCTCTGTCACAAGATGTGAATAAACATTAATCTCCCCCCATTTTCCTTATGTCTCATGTGAAGTCCTAGGGAACAGAAGGATATTCTAGACCATAACACATGCAGTACCAGAGGGAAGAACTCTTAAGTGACTGTAGCAGGCAGCAACAGTACTCACATTCCCTCAGGGTACTTAAATAACTGCATTTAGAAGGCACTTGGGTTTAGTCTGTTGGGTACTGGGTAGAATACATACCACATGAGTCAAACTTCATTTCACCCCAGGGCTTTTTTTGTAGAAAATGACCAGCAGGAACTCTTTAGCATAATAGGCCACACCCAACAGCAGAAACTCATTAGCATATTAGGCCATACCCTGACAGCACAGATCATTAGCATATTAGGCCGCACCCCCATGTTAACAGAAGTGTGGCCATGCAGCCACACCGACCTTTTGCTTCTTATTCTGTTTACCTTGTTTGTTGTCAAAACCCAGGGCTTTTTTTTGTAGCAGGAACTCCTTTGCATCTTAGGCCATACACCCCTAATGTAGCCAATCCTAATGAGTCTCTGCTGTTGGGTGTGGCCTATTATGCTAATGAGTTCCTGCTGGGCGTGGCCAACTTGGGAGCCAGCCGGAACTCCGTTCCTGTGCGTTCCTGCCCCAAAATAGCCCTGTTTCACCCTATCTCTACTCTAACGTCATTTAAAACCCCAACCTTCACCAAGGTAGGTTAGGCTGTCCGTGTGTGACTGGCTCAAGGCCACTCGGCAAACTTCTATGGCAGAGTGGGGATTTGAAACTAAGCCTCCCAGATCCTCAATTCCAGCACTGTAACCACTACCCCACTCTTGCTGTGCTGTTCTTCTTACTGTCTTGGCTCTGAGATGGGGATTGCAAAGCTGGAGCAATATGTTGTCACTGGTTTGAGCAGGAGCTGCTCATGGGGTGGGGAGCAGGGAACATCCAGCATCCACCACTGTATGCCACTGAAGTGGGACCCTCCCTGGCAGCAACAGGAAGCACCAACTGAACTACTGGGACTACAACTGAATTATAATGCAGGTACATAGCTTCTGAATAACTAGTGGAACCTCATCACCGTACTCGAGCACTGGTTTCCACTAGCCAGCCAGAAGCTGTGAATCTGTACCATACTGTAGCCAGGGCTCTGGCAGCTTCATCACCACCTCTTATTTCTCTCAGTTAAGGGCACTGCCCTGTCCCCTCCTTCAGTGGAGCATAGCGGTGGAGAATGGGAGTGTCACCCCATGAACGGGCAGGGTTGGTATTTGCTCACGAATTCCCAATACCCCGATAAGGTCCAAGATCTCCTGCATTACCTTGGGATACCCTTGGAATCCATTTGGGTGTGGCCCTCGGGAGATGCAATGCAGGGATTAAAACCAAGCTATTTATTTGTTTGTGGCTTTTATATCCCACTTCATGACAATCCTCAAAGTGATATTGGATGAGGATGAAATTGGGAGGGGGATTAAGTTGCAGATGTTGGGAGAGGACTCTTTGTAAGAAACTGCGGCATGGGACAACCAAATAACAATTTCAATGTTAAATTAGACCCCAGATCCTTCATAATTTGGTTCTGGTGGCCTCCCAAGGAGACATGGTGGGGAGGAAAAGGAAGAGAAGGCAATGGGGACGGTATCAATGGGATTTAGGCCTGCTAAGTCTCCTGCTATGTCAGGAGGCCTGCTGGCAGCCTGTCGTGTTCTTACATAGACCGCACATAAGGTCGGGTCCTCACACAGCCAGGTGAACGGCTTAAGCATCGCTCTCAGAGACAATAGCCAGCACGGATCCTGGAACACACCCAATCGGGAGGTCAGGATCCTAGACTGACCTATGGGATGCATGTGCACTGTAAATAATCCTATCACGGCTGTGGGTGTGTATTTGGGTGTGGTTCACAATGGGAATATAAGCAGGTCTCCGGTCCTGCTTTCCTTGTTTTCCCGAGCTGAAATAAACTATGAGCTGTTTCACTTACCAACACGTCTGGACCCAGTACTTTTCACAGCCCTTCTTGATTACTTCTGCTTGGAGCTGTGCCAGGACAAGGAGAAAAAAGTCAGCATCCTGTGCCCCATGACCTCACTTCCAAGGAAAACTTGGAAGTGTTGTTTGCTAACTCTAGGAATCATCTGAAGCTCTATGGTTTTATGGAACCTATTTTTTAAAAAGTGGTTCATCATTGCTACGTGATCTATGAAAAAGCCTTGCTTGACTGAACTGCCTCTGCTATTCTTCTGTTGTAGGTTGGAGGTGAAAGGAGAAGGAGGAGATTGTGTATTTCTGAATTCTGACTCTGCAGTTTCCTCCCGTTGCCACAGAATAAGAAATTGGGTCTGCAGCCATCCTGATATCTATACAAAGAAAAGGCGGTATTCAGCCACAAAATGACAAGACCTGGAGGACTGTTTAAAGCCTTCCCATAAAAGTGCATGGAATTCATGTTTATATCTGTGATTAGCCAACCCTCTCCCTCCAGATTCCATCTCTGCCCTACATTTCTTCTATTAATAAAAGACCTAATATATCCTCAAAGGCGTTCCATAATAATTGTGTGAACAGGGATGCAGGGGAGCAGAGAAGCACAGGAGTGCAGACCTAGAGCACTAAAGCGAGCAAGAGAGAGAGAGAAATACCTTAGTGCTAATAAGTAGCTTGTCCTCTCACCCTTTCAGGGGGAACTCTGTCTTGGGCTTTGCAGTAACTGTGTTTTAAGGGGCAATTCTATGCTAGGATTTGAAAAGAGACACAGCAAGACCTGGGTAAGGATCTGCCTTCTCTATGACATTTGCTTTGTGTGAGAAGAAACTGATATGGTGATTGCTTGTTAAAAACTAAACAAAATCTCTTGAAAGGACTCCACATATCTTCCTGGATCATAATGTAATCAGACATTTTTCACATGGGTTGTGTTTGCCCGGGGTTCAATGCATTCCCCCTCTCCCCACATGTTTATATTTAGCTACCTCCTAGGTTTTTCTTTGGCTTTTCTTTAATGTTTCTCAAATCTGTTCTGCTGCAAAGTTTTGGGAAAGATAACAACAAAGCCTGAATGGCTACTGACTAAAATGGCGGGTCAGACTAAAATGGTGGGTAAATTCCAATAGCTGATGTCATTGCTTAGATTGGGAAAATTCCTTCCTCACGTATCCATTGAAACAGAGAACCACAAGTTGAAATCTACCACATGTCTCCATTTCACACCACAACTATTCTCTTCAGCAGGGCCCAATACAGGAAAATCTACTGGAATATTTGGTTAATATATCAAAGTTTGCCCAGTCATAGCAGCATGATACTGAGTGCAGTACATAAATCTCATAAGAAGTATATTACAAAAAAGGGTAAAGTTACATTTATTCAAGTAGATCCAGTTCACATTCAGGTTGCAACAGCCCTCTAGCTAACAACTTTTTGCTCCGGGGGGGGGGGGGGGGCAATGTTTTTTTAAAGTTGTATTTTTATTCAGTTTTCTTCCAAGCATAAACACACACATAGTAGATAATTTATACAAACTTACTGTGGAAGAGCTTACAGCAGCCTTGTCTTCCATACTCTATAACCAAACTTTTTAGCCTAGCCCTTCAAGCTTAGTTTCCAATTATATTGTTGTTGTTGTTCAGTCGCACAGTCGAGTCCGACTCTTTGCGACCCCATGGACCAGCTCCCTCCAGGCCTTCCGGTCTTCCGCCATCCTCTGAAGTTTGCTCAACTTCATGTTCGTTGCATTGATGATTATATAGTTTAATTATATAGTTTAATCCAATTTTTTTCCAAAAATTGATTCATCTTTCCCTTTTAACATACATGATATTTTATCAATTTCAGCAACATTACACATTTTTGTATAACTTCTGCCCTGTCTGGAACTTTTTCTGTTTTCCAATATTTGGCGTACAGTAGTCTAGCTGCCGTTGCGCAATGTATCATCAAATTTTTGTCAGTTTTTCCATACACCTCTGGTATCATATTAAGCAGAAACAGTTCTGGCTTTAATGGTATTGATTCTTCAATAATTTCCTTTAACATTTTACAAATCATTAGCCAATATTCTTTAGCTTTATTGCAGGTCCACCACATGTGCAGGTATGTACCCACGTTCTGCTTGCATTTACAACAGATATTAGAAACTGCTGTAGAATATTTGGCTAGTCTAGATGGGTGTAAATACCATCTATGTGCTACTTTATAGATATTTTCTTTAAAAGCAGCTGCTCTTGTGATTTTCATTTTTGTGTCCCATAACTTCAGCCATTGATTTAGCTCTATATTGTGGCCTAAGTCTTTAGCCCAATGTTTTTCTCAGGGGGCCTGCCATTACATGTCTGTGTGGTACTGCCATGCTCATACTTTTAAATAATAACTAAATAATTTCTAAATAATAACTAAATAATAAATGCAAGTGGTTTATCGCACATAAATGTTTCAGGTTTATTATTTATTATTACAGTAATAGTTGACGTGATTGGGAACTAAATTTTTCCAAGACTGTATCCATATTGATTTGATTTGTGAGTGATTTCTCATAACCAAGCAGCACTAGACTGTAATTGATCTATATTCCTCATCTATTATAGTCCTCACGTATGTATTCTCAACAAGAACTACTATAAATCCTCTGTATATTAATGTATTTTAGTGTATTTCTTTTTCAGAATAGTATACTGAATGTATGCAAGAGTATTAGGATGTCTGCTGAAATGACAGTATTTTTTGGAGGGGGAGGTAGTGTTAAGTGTCCTCCACACCTGACAGGAGAGAATGAAGATTCCCAAACCCAGCCTACATTTTGAAGGGAAAGAAGCAGGCATCGGAGCAAGGGAAAGGGCAAAGAAACCTTTCTGCTCTAACCAACCCGTGGTCATTTGAGTCAGTCTGGGGCAGTCAGTCTGGCCGGCCTATCTGTTGTTCTCAGATGTGTTTTTTTGGGGGGAGAGTAAATCTGGGGCTGGCAGTGGCCCTAATCCGATGCTCCTTCAGGTAGGCAGGCTATAAAAAGAAAAGAAGAAGAAAGGTCTCTCCTGTATCCTGGCAGTGGAGAGAGTCTTGTGGTTTATCTTCAAGGAAAGAAAACCCGTTCTAATAAGTAATCTGATGGGGGGGGGGGAGCTCCTAGCTTTTTTTCCTTTTCTTTTGCAAGAAAAGTCTTTGCTCACCGATTTGAGATGTGGGGAGGAGATATGTGATCGAACAGCCCCCCCCCCCCCCTTTCTGCCTAAACCCCATACCCTCCAAGGCGAACTGCTTTCTAGCCACAGGAAAATAACTTTCTGCTCGGTTCCAATTTCACCCCCCCGTTCATTTTTTAAAAAATAAATAAACAACTCGAGGAGTGTTCCAGAAACAGAGCGGCGGCGGGGAGGCATTGGTCCCGGAAAAAGCCGGATCGCTTCCTGTATCCAATGAGCCTGAACCCTGGGCACGCCGACTCTTCTGCCTGCAGGCCTGCAACACTGACTCCTCATGGTTCTGACCTCCCCGGCAAAGCAGCCAGACAGATCCAGATGGGCCCGGCTGGGAGGGCTGATGGGACGAACCTGGGCTGAGGAGGAGAAGGGGAAGCGGATGAGGGAATGAGCAGGGGCTGGGGGGAGGGAGGGAGAACAAGGATTGGGGAGGGGGCCCATTAAAATCACATGGAGGCAGGCCCCAGGGGCCTCCTGCTAGTTACGGGCCTGGGTTTACAATCAAAAGAAGAGAAAAGAAGCCTAATCTAAGGAGTACTTTCCTTATCACAAATGGCCAGCTAATCTGGAAACATGTGTATGGAAATATGAAGGCATTGTATCTACAGGAGAGACCTGCAGAGATATGTCTCTCCATGGAAGGCCATGTGCGGAAAAGTGAGAGGACAAAGTGAGAGAGAGGACGGGTCAAAGGGCAGCTCCCAGGTACAGACAAAGAGGCATCCCATTCAAGAAGATACCTCCTATACACACTTAGAGTGATATAGTGCTCCCCAGTGTCCAGGTATGCTGAGTCGCTCATTCCAACAAAACTTACAAAATATAGGAATGATGAAAAATGGTTAACTTCTGGTTTCACCATAATCCATGAGTTGATTTTTTTTGCTCAGATGAACAGCATTTATTCACAAATCCTGCTAATAATGTTATTGTGTACTGAGCCTAACCTCATCAGATCCAGCTTGAAGTCATAGAACAATAGACTGCAAGGATCCTGGGATGAACCTATTGCCCAGGAGTGCCTCTGTAAATAACCTATCATGGGTACTGGGTGTGTGTGGGGTGTGGTGTTGGGTGCAAATTTAAGCAGGGCTCTGGTCCTGCTAGTTTGTCTTTCGTTCGAGCTGTTTTCACAATAAAGCATGAGCTGATCACTAACGTGTGTCAAACCCAGTATATTTCAAACGTCTACAACCCCCTAAGAAAACCCCTCCCTTGCAGGGTAACAGCACTTATATATACACCCTGTGTCCCCATACAAGTTCCTGCACCAACTAAAACAATATTCTATGATGTAAACAAGCCAGACAAGTTTGTACCCATTTTGTTCATTTTATTTGTCTCTGACTGTGCTATCTGGAGAGACTGAGCATCTTCTTCTTATCAAACTGCAGCTTGATGCCCAGTGACAACTGTTAGCTTCCATGCCCTGGAAGACTTCATCTATTGATGCCCAAATACCAAGTTCTGGCCATCTGTCAGCCTAAAGGGCACAGCCAAGGAGCTATACAATACAAGCTTTAGCCACTGATTACAGAGACTGGTGGGTTGCTAAATTTGGCACGGATGTTAAATTTCAAAATGGAGCTATGCAGAATAGCAGCAGAATGGGGACCTCCTCCTGATATTCTACATGGTGCAATGGTGAAATTTAACAGCTGTGCCAAATTTAGTAACCCACCAGTCCCTGTGATCAGTGGCTGAAGCCTATCTGCGTTTGCATAGAACAGTCCATGGCCATATATCCATAGAAGAGAAAAACAAACTGGGATCACAGTGTACAACCTAATAACAAGCAATCACTGTGATTTGTGGCTGCTGTATTTTATAGTTCATAAAAATAAAATTGGTCCTTACATATCACATAGATAACAGAAGAATCTCACAACTAATAATATGATCTTATATCACAAAAATGAGAAAAGTCCCATCCTTGTGATATTGCAGAACGGCTTCTGTAGTAAGTTTATTTATTTCTATTTATAGGTTGGACGTTTAAACTGCCCTCCCCTGTACATACAAGGCCCAGGGCAGTGAGCAACAATATAAGAACATGTTCATAAATCAATAAGGCAGTTAAAACCAAAAACAACTTTAGAAGAAGAAGAAAAGAGATTGGATTTATACCCCACCCTTCACTAACCAAAGTTGTCTCAGAGAAGCTTACAAACTCCTTTCCCTTCCCCTCCCCACAACAGACACCCTGTGAGGTAGGTGGGGCTTAGAGAGCTCTGACAGAGACTGCTCTTTTTCAAGAACAGCTCTTATCAGAACTGTGGCTTGCCCAAGGTAATCCAGCCAGGTGCAAGCGAAGGAGTAGGGAATCAAACCCGGTTCTCCCAGATTAGAGTCTGCCCACTTAACCACTACACCAAACTGGCTGTTAAACAGTTTCCAAAACAATTTCAGATGATGCTAAAAACAACCAAGTTATACTGTTATCTCATGGGAGGACGGGAAGAAAGGGGATGCCAGGCAAGATGGAAACCATCACTTCAAGTACTTTCGACAAAATGAGGTGAATTACAAACATCTCCCATATCTTATAGTGCCATAGTGATTGTGTAGGAGCATGCAAGCATTTCCATGTGGTAGCTATTGATGTTTTACCACAGGACATAGATACATTTATATCAACTCATATACCAGAAACTCCAATAATATAGAACACAATCTCTCCGTTTTAATAGTACCGCAGGAGTTCAAGGATTCACTGGAGGAGCCTGGTGGATGAACTAATTGTATGTTGATAGTCTTATTTACGCGTAAGCTAGCTGATAACAAGCCACGTTTCACAACGTTTTCTGCTCCAAAGGGAAAAATTTCACCAATGTGTTGTTTCCTTGCGCAAAGTTGCTGTCCATTGCAAGCCAAAGTGCAAAAACGCTTCTTCTTCTTTTTTTTTTAGAAGTACCCAAGGGTACACTTTTATTATTTTTTCCATTATATACTACATACATACATACATACATACAAACAACCCCCATCTACCCCCCACAACATATAACATATAACAAGAGACTTTTTCATTTCTTCTGCTTGTTAGATTTCTAAATTCATTATCTGTTTTACTCCACTAAACTTATCTTTTCTGTGTTCTCAAA